ATGTCATCTCACTCAGTGTCTGTGTTTACAGGCAAAGATTTTCTCCAATTTGATTGAACACATTCCGATTATAGATTAAGACTGAGGTGTTTATTCTCACTCTACTCAACACTCTGATAGAAAATCTCCATTTACATCCACACTACAAGTAATCAGATCCAAACTTATAACGCCTGCATAGAGTACCTCTTAGTATACACGTTACCATGACAACCAGCATCACGTGAGTCCAGTCAGAGTGAGACGAGCAGCAGTGAGCAGTGCTTGTGTTTTTAATTCCTATAAAATGATGTCAGACTCAGGAAAACGTGCTTCACATGTCCTTATTAAAGAAGGCCGAGAGGAATACGTTGTGTTCTGAGACACATAAGCTGGACGTCCATCCCACCACCGTCTTTTAAAGCGTCTTCTAACTAGGTTAACTACTCTATCTGATCGTTCCAGAAACAATGAAAAGATATTTCTCTGACAAGCTGACTGTTTTCACATCATCCACTGAGGAGAAAACACCTTTACAGAAGATGATGAGTCCTCATCAGTATCCAGGGTACCAGTTAGCTGTGGTGTTAACTCTTTAGTTAAGAGGCAGCCTCAGTCACTCAGGCAACATAAAAGCCTTCAGATTTTTCTTGGCTGTTTATGAATAAAAAAATACAAGTTTATTCTTTTGTGTGCTGCAAGATTTTTTTCCTCCTTACTTTTTTAGAATCCTAACTCCAATAATAATTAGATTAAAACTTCAAATAAATTAAGTGGCGCAGTGAATGAAGGCAGCCAGGAGGAGTCTCCCTACTTGCAATCTGTCCCCCAGGCCAATCACAAGGATTCTTCCCAGTCCACACAATAGCACCCGAGACGCAGTTGGGGGAAAAAAGAAAAAAAAATTGCAGCCTTGTGCCCTTTCTTTCTTCTCCCGAGTGCTTTATGGAAATTCATGGCCTTTGGAAGAATGGAGAAGACAGAGAAAAAGGCAAAGCAGTAGAAAAAGAGTGTTTTGTAATGCCTATTAAAATTCTTTTTAATTGTCAGTAATAGCAGTGATATACATTAATGTTTTTAAGAGGGAGCTGGTGAGGAACAATGCGCTCACTGGGGTAGATGGGAAGAGGTAGAGCAGACTAGCTGTCACCTAATAAATAAGCATACAGTCCTACATTAATTTCAGTGGATATCCTTTCTTTTAATTTTTATTCTATTATTATTGTGTTCTCCTTTCCTGTGGTTAAGTGTCTGTTCATTAACTGTTACAGATTCTCACATATCAAATTATATCAGAATACATATCTCTAATGCATGCACTTGTTCAGCTTTCAGGAAATACTGACTGAAAAACATTGTCACTATAACATATCGTTGTATCGCCCAGCCCTTGTACACACACTACCATTTCAGTGTCACGGCTGTGCTGAGAATGATTGATCATGAACATAATTATTTTATGGTGTGGACTACTGGCTACGAGAGAGTACGACATTTATTAAATATGCCAGCCAACTTATCATTGCTGTTTTACATTTTGAAACCTCAAGTCTGTCACAGGGCTGATCCTTTGGGCCAAGGAACCATGACTGCCTCTACAAAGAAAGGTAAATTCATTTAAAATTAAAGTGTTTAAGAAAATGTTAATATCAGATGAAATCATCACTTAAATTTTCAGAGACCTGCTAAATTCCTTATTTGTGTTTGTTTCTCAGCCTGCAGGGTGCCAAACAAGAAAAGAAAGTGGTCACTACAGAGGTACAAGCCATTGAGAGACACCTGATGAAGTTCATAAGGACATGCTGGGTCCAGGAAATAAGAGTGTGTCTTTTGCCTTAAGTCAGAACTTGTGGCACTTCAGAAAAGAGAGTGGACTGCAGTGACATTCAAAAACAGACAAAATGTCAAAAACAGAATCACTGCATTGAAAAGGAGACAGACTACATAAAGAGACTGTCTGTCAGCTTTTGTTGATGAATATTAGGTTTAGTTAAATGTTATTGTTGTATCAATAAATGTTCTGGGTTTGGTTTGACATTATAGAGAAAATGTAGGATTTAAGTGTGAATTAGAGGGATGAGTATGTAGAGATGGTGTAGAGCAATAGAGGATGTAGGTGTGACATAGAGGGGTTGATATAAGGATAGTGTAGAGATATTTTGAAGATTTAGGGATGATGTAGAGGGATTGCACATGGAGGAATTTTATAGAGGGATGACGTAGAGTGACTGAGTGTACAGGGATAAGAAACACAGCCATAACATGTTTATGGACATAATGAACTACATGGTAACTGTATGTATGGAGAAAGAAGATGGAAATGATAAAGAATGTAATGATAGAGATGAAGAATGTAGGGATTGATACTGAGAGACTGTAGAGATTAAATAGAATTTAATCCTATATAATCCTCAATGAAGAGGCCATTTTAAGAACTGTAATTGTGAGAAGGTTTGGCTTTTAATCTTGGACCAGCTGCTTCTTAAAGGTTTGTTGTTTTTTTTAATCTTTGTTAAGATCTCGTAGATGATGGTGAAGTCCACCATTGCCACAGTTATATTTTTCTGATGTTCATTCATGAAATTATCTGCTTTTAAAATGGTGAGAATTAAAAATTTTTTGACAACAACTGGCAGAGTTCTGCTTTGAGAAAAAAATTATATTGTAATGTTACATACAATTTTATTAAAATAAAACATTGTCAGTTAAAGTGTTTTACTGTTACATTATGTTTTCCTTCTTCTACATTTAAAATACAGCAAGTTTCACTTCTTTTTAGAAGTGTGTTAAGTTTTAGACTGAATTTCTCTAATTCATTTCTGTCTCTGTTTCACAGTAATTGTGTGAATGAATCTCCTGAATTGGAATAAAAAGAAAAGAAACCCTGCATATTTTAAAAGTATTTATTTTGTTGTGTTTTACTTTTTACTTTCTACTTTTGTGTTTTACTCTAATTAAATTCAAACCAAACTAAAGATGAAGGTCTCCCAACTTAAAATGTACATAGTAGATTTTTATTATCCATTATTATTAATAGGGCAGCAGCAGCACATTCAGCTCATGATTTGATTTGATTCATGATATGATTTGAACTTCTCAGGATACTTTGAACAAAATTTGACTGAAAAAAATGATGTTTAAAAACTTTGATCACCCAGTTCAGTTGCCTTAGATGTCATAGTTAACAGAAAGCCCATTTTCCATAGTGCCTTCTTACACTGCCACGATGCACATTGTGTCATATTTTTGTATTGTGTCATCACGAAGCATCATTTACACACCTGGTTATCATTTAAGTTCCGGTCCTTGATTTAACAGTCAGAACGGTGTGGGTGGTTGTGATCTAGTTTTCACCATGTCCTAACAATGTGGTAAGAACAAGAAAAATATGTGCATGTTTCTCCTGATATTTAATTTAAACTGGAAAATGTCCTGACTGTACTGTGGAAGTTCAGACCTCTTAAAGTAGATGGACAAAATATCAACTGATGAAGTTAATATATGCACGTTTTGTAAAGTAAAACTTTCTCATTTCATCTCTAGACCTCTCAGAAAGGTATGTTCCAATTTTGTAGGTTTATTTCACGTCCAGAATTTTCACTGAAACAAGTAGGTGTGTGTGTGTGTGTGTGTGTGTGTGTGTGTGTGTGTGTGTACTTACATTTCTTCAGTCCTGGTTTGATTCTAATCTCACCTCCATGTTCCACTCTAAACACACACACACACACACACACACACACACACACACATAATATACTCAGTTAAATATTCTCATGTTCCTCTCTCTCTCTCTTTCTCTCTCTCTCTCTCTTTGTCTCTCTGTAAACATATTATCTGATATCTGATAGTGTAACACATTCTGGTGTCTCTCCTAAACACTTCTCTGTTTCTACATTATGATCACTGAGTCTGTACATTGTTAAGGTGTTTCTCGGGTTCCTCGACCAGTATGTTTTTTCCGGACTGATACTGATTATTAGTAATCAGGGAGACTAATAACCGATATTTGGGGCCGATATTCATTTACCATAAATTTGATGGTTGTAGTGTGAAAATTTACAAGAACGTAACTCACAACTTACATTAAATAAAATATAAGAAATATTATAAAAATAAAGTGATTTAAGCTTTAGACAGTACAGTTTGTAAAAACTTAAAACAAAGTAAGCTTATCTTTAAACATAAAAATAAATAATTTAAATAGCTCTCAGTGTTTCACCACCTGTGATGTGTGAAAAAGTGTACTCAAAAACTTTAAAATGAATAATTTATACAAACAGAATTTTTATATGAAACAGATATGTCATCAACAGTGTTTAAATTTAAAATCATTTTCTGAGCCAGAATTGTGCCAAGAGCCTGACAAGGCTCGCATGCCTTGTGTTTGACACATGGGTTCTAGATGAATATAATGAAAACAGTCTAGGAGAGTGAGAACAGTCTAGGACAGTGAAATAGTCTAGCTGAGTGAGAGCAGTCTGTGAATGAGATCAGTGTAGGAGAGTGAAAGCAGTCTAGGTGAGTGAGAGCATTGACATTAAAACCTACATAAAACGGAATCAATATCCTGGAGAGCTGTCAGCCATATAGGAGGAGCAAATAATTACTGTCTTCAGTAGTTCAGTCATTTTAAATCCACCACACTTACACACACACACACTCACACACTTCTGAACACAGTTGTTCATACCTGAGAGTGCTCAGTGCGCACTGTGGATCCTCCAGTTTGGCAGAGAGCACCGTCTCTCCTGACTTTCCTGGGTGATTGTAGGTCAGATCCAGTTCGTTCAGATGTGAGGGGTTTGAACTCAGAGCTGAAGCTAGAAAAGAACAGCCTTTCTCTGTGATCATACAACCAGATAATCTACAAAACAAGAAATAATGAGAACACAGATGACAGAGTGAAATAGATGATTCACATTAATATCAAACCAGACAGAAACATACTAAAACACTAAAAATTGCTCTATCAGTAGATCTTACACTAAATACATTCTACAAATAGCACTGATGTGCATTGAAGTATCAGCGATACTGTTTAGATTTGGAACCTCACTGCTTCTCTTGGTATTGTACTTTTTAAAATTCTGTATACACAGGTTATTTACTTTGGTCTGAAATGTTTATGTGAGTGAATGTAGATAATTAAGTATCAGTTGTCAATGTCATCAAGTTCCTCAGAAAGAAGATACAATTTACAAGTTCATCAAGTGGTTCAAAAACTGGCAAAATTTGAAAGATGAAATTTAGTTCATAAAAGAGACAATGCTAGCAAACTTTTGTCTGAGTAGTCCAGAGTCTCTTAAAAAAAATTACACATCATATATGACTGCTTCTAGGCTTATTATATTGTAATCACCAATTAACTAAAACTAGCCTGTTCATTATTCATTATTTGTGAGCTGATCTTTAACCTAATCTACAAGATCTGCAGTGTCAAGATAAACTCCATAAAGGCTTGAGGACAAATTGCTGATAGGAACCAAGACACAAAAGGAAAAATTCACAAAGAACATGAAGAAGCACTGAGAAAAATCAAGACTCAAAACAGGAACCCATCCTCCACTGGGCTGCACCAGATACAGCAGTTATAGAGACATGGATATAGGAAAGAGAGAAATTATGGTGAAAGAGAAAATACAGCGTGTAACTAACATTAAACTTTAAATGCATACTTTAGCTGTGTAGCATTGCATGAACTTATACCACTCCCCACTCACTTAATCCATTTTGCAATTATGCCTCCTCATCAGTCTGTTGTGAACAGGTTGATTCTGACGGCATGTGTGTGGTGCTGAATGATCATGTATGTGAAGTGCTTTGTGGTGCAGTTTTCCAGATCACTACTGAACCAATGTTTGTACAGATGGTTGGTAAAACAATGATGTTTTTTTCAATTAAATGAGTGTTTAAATTACTCCTGTCACCTAAAAACCATTTTTAAAACATAAACTTTCATTCTGCTGGAATTTAACTTAGAACTATGTGACCAATTCAAAGTTAGATACAATAGAAACCTCATGTTTTTTTATGAAAACACAAAATAACACAGCTTATTATTTATCATTCAGGAATACACTGAAAGAAACACTGACCTGAGTGTTTCCAGTTTACAGTATGAACTCTTCAGTCCAGCAGAGAGCAGCTCCATTCCTGAATCATGTAGGTCATTGTTGCTCAGGTCCAGCTCTTTCAGGGAGCCGTTTTCCAGTTGTAAAAGTGATCCAAGGTTTTCACAGGTCTCTACTGCAAGGTTACACAAAGCTAGTCTGCAAATAAAGAATAAAAACATAGATTTTACATAAGTGACTTTTTCTAAATCTTTACTTAAAAAGAATGATAGAAATGGAAGTTTGGAAGGGTATGGAAGGTTCCATGTTGCTGTTCTTTTAGTAGAGGCTTCACCTGTGTCACATGTGGACATACTTGATTTGTGTATAACTGTTGCTAGCTCCTGGTAATGCATAGCAGAGCAAGATGTCATCACTAATATAGGCGGCTTGTCAGGAAGGTAATAGGAACTTGTTGCAGTAGACTGAGCTATGCTGGATCATTGTCCTGTTGCAGAAGCCTGTTTTAAGCTCCAGTTTCTTTACTAACACTGTGTCAAACACTGTTAAAACAATAACCTGAAATTGCTCACCTTATAGTAAAGTAATTGCCTCATGTAACTTTATTAAGTTTCTTGTTAAAAGTCAATCTCACAATATAACATAGTTGAGGCCAGGCCAACTACTGTGTGCATGCTCATTTTGACTCCTTAGTTGAACAGGGTCTATGGAGCAATTCTGCAGGGGTTTTTATCTTTTGCTGAGATGTTCTTAAACCATTTAGCGATTTCCCACATGACAAGTGATCTCTTTGGTTCTCTTGAAGTGTAACTTGATGTCCACTAGGTGAGTATTTTGGTACAATATTCATTATCTAGAAACTCTGCCTTTGTCATAATTACATGTTAAAAATTTGTACTTAATCGGTCATGCTTTGAATATGTTACCCAGCGCTGTGCCTACAAGTTAGATAATTAAGTAACAGTTAGTTAGACAGCAGATGTCAGCTCTAACGTTACCATTAACTGGCAAACAGAATTGGTAATGGTGTATTTGAAAAATGTATTATCTGGTAATACACATGCTAGCTAGCTACATTTCTAGCAGATGACGAAACACTGCTGCCAGATCACCACTTTCTGGGGTCTGAAGGTGTAACTTCATCACGAGAAATGATTACTTCTAAGAAAAGTTGACAAAAAATGTAACTGTCATGGTAGAGTGGAAAAACAAATATGTATTTATTTTTACTGCAGTGAGTAGCCTACTAGGCCCATCTGCCTAACCTGTCCTCAAACTGATTTTAGTAAAAAAAAAAAAAGTTGATTATAAAAAGTAGCAATTTGAGATATTGAGGTGATGCTGTGAAAATAAATGAAAGTGAATGAAGAATTGTGTAAAAAAAAAGAAATAAAAAATCAAGCATATCCCAGTGGCAGCTACAACAACAACGAGAACTGGAATAATAGCAGAGGATGTCCACAGGATAAAGAGCTAGCCTTGTTCTGAAGAGAACTGAAGTGGGAAGCAGGATGTACAGTTCTGTCAGCTTGAGTTAAGAAGATTTATTGAGGCACCATCTATTATGACACATGAAGAGGAGCTCACTGGCCCTGTGTATAGTGACTGTGTGTACCTTCAAAATGTGGTGCATTAAAATCACACCTCACCCAATCACATTGTAGGACTGTAAAAGAGCAGGAGATGTCAACCTTTTCCTGTGATTTATGTGAATTTGGAGAAATGTGTACTCCATGTGCTTTTTTCACTCATCTTGAATGTCATTTTAAAAATCAAGAGACTGTGTTGCCTTTTCCTATGGTGTGAGTTTAAAACTAACATCGTTTAGTTCACACAGAAGTAGAAAACACAAAAATACAAAGAGATTAGAACTTGTTTAAAAGTGCATTCTGAAAATAAAACTTGTGCCATTGAGACTGATGCCATTGACAAGCCATTGGATAATATTGCTGAGGTAAAGACATTACAAAGTGGTTCAAGACTAGATTCAAGCGAGTGGAAGGGACGAGTCTGTAGCTGCTCAGGCTCTTGAACATAAAATTACACCTCTTTTTCTGTGCATGCAAACAGCATTACATGTTTTTAAAAGTGCTTTACAGACAATTGTTGAAGAATTTAATGTTATTCTGCTCTTTTTTGTGTCATTTACTTTAAAAACTCAAATATGTGCTCAGTGAAGATAATAATGCAATAGATGATTTGTGTCGTTCAAGGAAGTACTGAAGCAATGTTCAAAACAAATCCTGTAATTTTAACTACTGAAGCCAATGGTGCACTGTCCACTGATAACAGGAGGAATCTCTATTTTAAGGAGGAATTCCTGTAATTGAGCCAATTGAATATACACATAGAAGCTCACATAACAAAAATTTGCTTATGTTTCAATCATTCAGGTTCTAAAAACTTTATTCAGACAGCCAGGTTTTTCAGATAAGCTTTTAATCAAGAAGCTAAACCAATCAAGGTAAGTGTTTAATCAAGCAGATAAACCAGGTCAGAACAGGTCCTTTTGAGATGGTCAGTACTTACAATAAACTTTTAGGGGTACAAGAGTATTTCTATAGGACTGTACATTGATGATTTTGAAGTATGTAATCCTTTTGGGATATCTAGAAAAATTTATAAGATTACTGCTGCCTATTTAGTTGTGCTCAGTTTACCGATTTTCGTTCTACGCTGCCCTTAATTCAGCTGGCTGTTCTTGGAAAGAGTGTTGATGTTAAACTGTTTGGCCTTGTCCTTTGTACGCAGAGCAATATATCATTGTGTGATGATGGTTTTGTCTGTATACATGACCCACAAATAATCTTTAATCGAACATGTGGCAGATTTCCCTTTTTAATCAGTTAGTCAAACCAGTTGTCGCTGTTAGCCGACCGTAGAGATTAATCCAGCATTGAGGGCTATTTTCTCACTTGCATAGTGAGCATCAGATACAGATATTCTGCTGTGTTATACCTCATCAGCCACTTCTTTTCCAAATTTTCCACCTGAAACAATGCTGCCGTAAAATTGAGCACCAGAATGTAATTGCGGCACTGTTAAAGGTGGACCAGAAAAGCCAAGTTCAGCCTTGTTTTTATCAACCAGAGAGATAAAATAGAAATCTTGGCCATACGCTCGATTAAACACTTTCTTGTGGGGTCATGTATAAAGACATTAAGCATCACAAGTGGCTCTTTTTCACCTCATCTGCTAACGCAAAAGTAGTTGTAAGCTCTTCGGCCACCATGTTTTTAGATACAGGCTTTTCCACTAAGCGTGTTGTTAGCCCTGCCCTGATGGAATGATTTGCATGTTCAAGTCCATGAAAATGAAATCAGATCGAATGCATTTTCAAAGGCAATTTACCACAGAATGAATGCAGTAGGAGAGAATATGTAATTGTAAAGAGGAGAGGCACTCATTTCCTTTTTACATTTAAAGTTTGACATCTTCCTAGCTTGGTGTTCTCTTTGATAATGCAATTTCAAATGCATTATTAGAGAGTGAAAATGCACATAAGGTAATTTAAATGTAATTTATCATTTTGGCACTGTTATTGCATAATAACATTAAGCATAAATATGAAGTTCTGGAATTGCATTTTTATTTAAATAAAGCTACTCATAAAGCATCTAAATGCAAATTAAATGTAAATGCTAGTGCACCAAAAGGCAAATTAAAATCGCAGTATTTAATTTGAATTTTCATTTTGAGCTCAACATTGCACAAATGAGTGGGAAATTTAAATGCAAACATACAAATACGTTGCTACTTTACGTGTTGCATTTTCATTTTATTTTTGATACTGATATGCTTCTACAGGTGTTTGTTGTCTTCACACTTTTTTAATTTTTATTAGGGTGATTGTTGTACAGCTGTATTTCAGTCTGAAATTGGTACAACTTCCTGGTTTCAACCGGTGGCAGATCCAGATGATAAGCAAACCAAAGGTGTGAAGATGGGCATCCTCACTGTTCTCAAAGATGATGATGCACCTAACTCACTGCCCACAGTCATCAACATTGCCACTGTTTTGGAAGAGGCTATTGCCATCACAGATCTTCTAGACCTCCATACTTGCATTTGCCTACGTTTTCAACCTGCTTTATACCCTGAACATGGAGCTCCCAAAGAACATTAGTACACTTTTGAAGCTATTCAGCATGCCTTATGGAACTTTCCACTAGTTGCTCACAGCATGTCAGGAGCTTGAAAACCAAGCTCTTAGTATAGGTTAGAAGCCGGTCTGTTTCTTTTACATTACATTCTAGCCTAATCAGCCTATGTTACATTTCAGGATATTGTAGTCAATGAAGCTCTAGGAAACAAGAAAAATGTGGGACCCACTTTGATTTTGACAGGGCCCACATTTAGACTTTTAAAGTTATTGTCCTGCAGTTTTTGAGATAAGGGCCATTTTTTGGATGAAAGGTCATTGAAAGCTTTCGACCGTACTGTGGAAGAAGTGAGCATTTTGTGATCCCTCACAGAGAGGTCCTGTTGTTGGAAGAGGCCAATGTCTTGCCAATGTTTTTTGTGTTGACGCCCTGAACATTGGTAAAACATTAAACAACACAAACAAGTCCACAAACAAATGTGGTTATCTGTGGTCACCACACTTAACAAAAAACGTTGTTCAAGGGTACTTTAGTAAAGAAAAAGGTTATGTATATAATGATTAAAGATTGATTAAAGATTCTTTGCATCGTGAAAGCGTTCTTCAGATTGATGGAGAATGTTTTATGTGGTTCTATATAGCACCAAAAAGCTACAAGCTTGAAATCATAACAATAGCAGAACACTTTTTGGTGCTATATGGAATTGTTTTCAAGAAGGTTCTACATAGATTCATCTACAGCACCTCAATCTGAAGAATCATTTCATGATGCAAAGAACCCTTTAATCATGCAAAGGGTCCTTTGAGTGTTCATAGCTCTATATAGAACTCTTTTCTTTACTAAAGAACCCTGAAAAACCATCTTTTTTTTCTAACTAACAGACAGTTTAAGGCAATACTTTGATTGAAGCAGTTACATGTTGGATCAATTGATAGTCAGGCGGGTTGTTTATAAGAGAAGTATGTGGCAGTAAGATCCAGACAGTGGTAATATCAATCTGAAAAATTTTATTAGATCACATTGATATTTTTTCAGAACTACTTAGTATAAGCAGAGCCCTTGTTAGTGCACCCATTAGTAATTTCCTGTTATCTTTTCTGTAAACAAGCACAATTTACTCTTTAACGTTTGTGACATATACGCACATTTTAAAAGTGAATTTAATCAGGCTGTTGTTTTGTTTATGCTATACTGCAGTACCTTATTATTTGCATCCTGTTGCCCAAGTAAGGTTTGTTATTTCTGGTTTCAGGGTCAGCCTGCAAGTTTGGTGTCATATTGTGCTGTGTTTAAGTTTGAATTAATAGATACAAAAGGTCAGTTTACACCTGCATTATTTTGTCTGCAATATTGGATTAACATATTTGTGGTTTTAAAAGACTAATAGACTGGTTGTCAGTCCTGTTATGGTTAGTGGAGTGCATAATATTTTGGACAGTCCTACTCCAGAACCTGACGGATGACTGTCAAGTGTTATTCCATTAGCTTGCATCAGTTAAACAGTTGGCTGGTGCTGAACTGTAGTTTGCACTGTATAGTTGTGGATTTGATTATTGCTGATCATAATATTTGTTATTTGTTTTGGAACATAAGCTAAAAGTGCTGCTAACACAAAAGCACTTTTTTATTGTTTACAGTTTTTACAGGTTTCTTACTGGTTCATGTTTAAAGTAAACATGTTAATTGAACTGTTTTGTTGTTTGTTATCTTAAAAGATAATTAGTTGGCTCGTTTGTTGTTTGGAATTCTTAATATGCAAAACTTAAAATTTATACATGTGAAAGATATATTACCTCAACAAAAGCTAATTAGTTGGCACAACTGTAGGTGGTTTTCTTCAAAAACCAGGAGTTTAAATACACCTCAAAACTCAAAAATCTAGTGCAGTAAGTTGCCTAGACATTGAGTATTCCAAGTTTTTCATTTTTACAGTGCGTTTGCTTCCAGAATTTTCTGATATTTAGTAGAATCCATTCTTCCATCTACCTGTGCAATGTTTCCTGTGCCACTCGCTGACACACAACTATTTTTAAGTTAACTAAGTTGCATTAACATTTGCAAAAAAAAATAATAATGTTTTTAGTTTCTGCAGATGTTAAATGGAAAAAAAAAACTACAGAGCCATAACAACCTTTAAGATCCCTGTCTTACATTTCTTTTGATAAGTGTAAAATTCAAGTAACCACAACTAATCGTCTCTGATCAAGTGTGCCATGCAACATCTCAGTGCACTTAACTAATGTTAAGGAAGGTAAAATGAAGCCAGCAGTCACTGTTTCAGGACAACTTGAAAGCAGTAGGAACACCATTTACACAGAGAACAATAAGCAGCAAACAATGAACTCGCTACCCTTGTAAGTGTGAGGCTGTAAGAAACAAAAGGGTGAGTTGTAGTGTCTTTCTTTTTTACAGAGAGGTAAAAACATAATCTGCAATCAGCATAATGTCACTTGTCACCTGTTACTTGTCATTTCAGTACCATTTCTGTATTATTGCTGTGTGTGACATGCCTGCTCTTTGTGAATGCGATTTGCTTAGAAATGAAGGTTCTAAAAATCTGATGCTTCTGTTAGTGCTATTTATGGAATAGTCTTTCATCATTATGTTGCTTGGCAACCATGGCTAACTGTAAAACATGTATACTGCTTAGAGAAAGAATTATTTATTATGATTATTATTCATCATAAACTAGGTTTTGTGTATTTCATTGCTGTTTTAATATGCAATCATTTTGGTCCAGATTCTACTGAACTGTGGGATTAGCTGTGCAGGACAGTTCATATAGAACTGTTGGATTATTTTGGAGGTTTATAAGGTTGTGCTCAGGTCTGGTGAGCAGAATTGGTCTAGAACTACTCGATTTTGGAGATTAATAAGCTGTGTTTAGGTCTAGGTAGCATGACAGAGACCATGAGAGAAGTACTGAAAGTGACAGATGACATGAGCAAATGGAGTTTGTGATGGATGATCACACAGGAAAAGTCTTTCCTTTTTCTTTAAATGCATATTAAGTACTCAATTTGTTTTTAACATAAGGCTGTCAACTCACTCTGTGGTAGGTCAGACACTGCTACATTAATTTATTTAAATTCTGTCTTTTCATCTGGACAGCAAATTGTGATTCATCTGCTTTGATTAAAACCTTCATTAAATATTACTCTGTGATCAACACCACTATTTAGCTACAGTGCTGTGAAAAAGTCTTTGCCCCTTCCAAATTTCTTCTATTTTTGAATATTTGTCATACTTGAAGGTTTCAGATCATAAAACTACTTTGAATATTATTATAACAAAGATAACCCAAGTGAGCACACAGTGTTTTTTTAAACAATGATTTCCCCAAGAACGCATCAGTGATTCATCCAGGAGGTCACAAAAGAACTTAGAAAATTGCAAGTTATTGCAAACGTTTGATTGCAGTTGTTGCTGCCAAAGGTGGCACTACCAGTTATCAGGTTTAGGGGCAATTAATTTTTCACATGGGTGATAAAGGTTTTGAATCTTTATCTTTAATAAATAGAATGATCGTTTAAAAGCTGCTTTTTGTGTTTAACCATGTTGTCTTTATCTTGTATTAAAATTAGATCGATGATCTGAAATATTTAAATGTAACAAATGAGCAAAACTAGAAGAAATCAGGTGAGGGGTGAATACTTTTTCACAGCACTGTATATCTGTCTTTGGATGAAACATCTCTGTACTAGCAGCTTTTGACAAACTTGCAGCAAAAGTTGGCCCACCGCAGTATTTCAGTATTTTCACTAGAAAGCATGTCAGGAAATACTTACAAATAAAGAGTATTTATAAAACTGTTCTACATTGTTTTCAAATTCTGTGGGTTTCCTTCCAGAATATACTGACAGGCACACTAACCTCAGTATCTCCAGTTTACAGTCTCCCGTCTTCAGTCCAGCAGAGAGCAGCTCCACTACTGAATCCTGCAGCTCATTGCTACACAGGTCCAGCTCTTTCAGGCAGGAGATTTTTGTTTGCAGGGCTGATATGAGAAATTTGCAAGACTGTACAGTGAAATTACAGATGGCTAATCTGTAAAGAGATGGTAAATACAGTTGAGAACATAGTTTATTCATGTAAATATAAATTCATACAGAAGTGCATTAATGAGACTGACAAAGCAAACATCCTTCCAACCTCTGTTACTTTGTTATTTCTTTGTGTAATTAGGGACATGGTCATCAGTGTCTTTACATTCAGAACTGATTGTTCCTTTATTTAATTTGTGTTACATTATGCATTTTGCATTTTTATCATAGATAACTGTTCATGTATGGGAACATATAACGTCTAATATTAATGGATTCACATTTACTAGTGTTCCAACCATTGGAATCAATGGAATCAATAATTTAAAACCAGTTACTTTGCAGACATACATAGACTTTGTTGCCAGTTTATGTACAAATACACTGTATCTACACACAGTGGCCATTTAAACTGACTGATCTGCCAATTATGTGTGTGGTGTAACTTTACTGACTATAGTCCATCTCTTGCTGCACAATTTATTAGCCCCCCATATGCCATTCATCAGCAGAAAGGGATCACCATAGGACCACTGCTGACCGGATATCATTTGAGTGAGGGGTTGGGCTGCACAAATAATTATAGTATTACCACCATCCATGATTTTCCAGCTGAGATAACAAATCAAATTACAGTACACACACATGGTGTCAAGATGACATAATGATTTTGGAAAGAATGTATCTTTGGGGACCATGCTTAAAATTAGCAGTGAATGTCTTATCTACAGTACTATAATCATTTGTTATTTTGTGTAATTGCTGTTTACTGTTGTGTATGTGTGTTAGTTTACTGGTAAGGCATGTGTTTAGTGTTGCAATGGATGACCTAACTTAATACCTAACATTATCTAGTCATACTTGAATCTAGAATGATATACTAGAATTAAAATTACACATTTTTATTAGACTGTAATGGGTAACCAACTGGACATAAAAATTTAAATGAAATAAATTTAGTGTGTAATTGCTGCTGCTAAATTAAGAATAAACTCTTTTGCACTATGATATTAGTCTGTGTTTGCATGGTTAAATTTTCATACAATATTAGTTTCTCGAACCTAACACAAACCTGCATTTTATTCATGTTGAATGATGTAATGTGACTCTTTTGTAATTTTCTTTACTTGCTGAAAAGTAGTTAGGGTAAAAAGCTAGCTCACAAGCTAAAGGTAAGCAAGCTAAAGATGAAAGCTCATTTATGTAGCTAGGTTATTATTGTCTTCTCTCTTTAAATAAAATGAATATAAAGATGCAAATGTAGGCTAATAAACACATCAAATTATTTTACACAGCCAGAACAATGCAATATATGAAAAATAATAGCTACTAGTCTTGCTATCTACTTAAAGATGTATTGAAAATAATTATTTTTTATTGTGTTAATGCATTTTTAATTTTATTTGCAGTGGACATTATAGCTCTAAGGTTTTGTATTTTTGAAAATCATTAAAAAAGTTTTTTTTGTATTATATTTGTTCAATGCTACCCTTCATTCATTAACTTATAATTAACAAATTATAACAAAACTTTGTTGCATACTTCTATAATGCTGAAAATGAATATTAGGATTCTGACCTGAGTGTCTCCAGTTTACATTGTGAACTTTTCAAACCAGTAGAAAGTATCTCCATTCCTGAATCCTGTGGGTTATTTTTACTGAGGTCTAGTTCTTTCAAGGGCCAGGTTTCTGATTGTAAAGCTGATCCCAGATATCCAGATGTATTCCTCCCAAGATTACACAAAGCTAATCTGCAAAGACAGAGAGCAAATATAGGTATTCAACACAAAAATGACACATTTGTAGTTTTATAATTATAGATTTCTGCATACTTTCTGCATGCTCTAGCCCCCTCCCCCACTCTCATCACTAGTGAAAACCACCACTGAGCATTACTGAGTAATGGATCATCAGACAGATAGAACAAATTTGTAATTATAGAACTACAAAGTGTAATGAATCCATGAAGAAGCATAAGTGAGAAAATGTCTGTGGTCAATTAGCTCATTTCAACAATGAAAACAAGACCATTTTAAATGAATAAAACTTAGTCTAAGAAAACCACGTTCATCAATGGTTCACATTTTTAAGTCCATCTGACACTTCAGGAACTGTTAAGTGATCATTTATGATTTCCTGTTTCATTGTGGCACACAAAGAATGTGACACAGGGGCCAATTCCCATAGTAATTCATCAGCATATGGAAGATTAGAGAATGAGAAGGAAATGATTAGAAATAGAGAAGGAAATGAGACAAAGTGTGTAGACTTTCATAATGCACAAAAGACTTTTAAAGAACAGCTACACTGTTGAAAACCTGTTTGATGAGCTTAGGAGGAATGTCTAAAAGAAAGGACCTAGAAACCTTGAAGATCTGGAGATATTCTGTATTGAGGAATTTTCCATAACCTATAATCTCATCAAACATTATAGGTTATGTCAGCAAAGCAGAGGTGCCAATAACTGTGACACACATGATTATGTTGAAAAATAATGTTTGATAAGGATTATTTGTTTTCTTTTGTTTTTTAAATGCAACTCAATTTAAGATTATATCAATATATATATATAAATCTCAGATTAAACATTTTTATGAATTTTTTTAACCATCTATACCAAGGCTGCCAATAATTATGGAAAAATCTTACCTGAGTATCTCCAGCTTACAGTGTGAACTCTTCAGTCCAGCAGAGAGCTTCTCCACTCCTGCATCCTGCAGGTCATTATTACTGAGGTCCAGTTCTTTCAGGGAGGAGGTTTCTGTTTGTAAAACTGACTGCAGAGCGACACAGGATTGGTAATGGAGTTTACACACAGCAAGTCTGCAAAAGGAGAGTAAAAACAATACATCATAACAGTACACCAAAAGTATAATAGTATAGTATAGAAAGTATAATAGATGCATATTGTCACAGTGCTGGTATACAATTGCAGAATTTCATGATTTTTTTAAATTCTGACCTGAGTATCTCCAGTTTACAGTGTGAACTCTTCAGTCCAGCAGAGAGCTTCTCCACTCCTGAATCCTGCAAGTCACTGCTACTGAGGTCTAGTTCTCTCAGGGAAGAGTTTTCTATTTGTAGAGCTGCACTTAAAATTTCGAGGGACTGTGAAGTGAGATTACAGCCAACAAATCTACAGGTGAGGAAGAAAATGAAGTGAGTAAAATATATCATAATTCAACCGTGTTTGCATTTGGAATTATCTGAATAACTCAGTTGATATTGTCTTTTAGTCTTGAACTCCACCGACATGGTTTTGTGACACATTACCTTCACTCCTCCTATCTTTTCTCCTACTTGCTTAATTAACAGTCATTAATTGTTTGCAAATTTCCCTGGACTTAATGCAGGAATTTGACGGAGCAAGTAATCACAGGCTGTTTTTTTTTTTTGCATATTAGTTTATAAAAGGAACTTGAGTGTTCTCTGTTACGGTTAACCAATACAGTGCACACATACTGTATCACATATGCCTGCTGCTGCATCTGTCTAACTGCAAGGACCTTTGGCTTTTCAATGCAAAAGAAATTATACCCATATATACCCATAAATATACCCATTCTATAACACAGAACAGAACAGGAGTAGAAACCAACAGATAGACATAAAATCATTTTAAGCCATCAAGAACTGGCAAGACACAAACACATTCTGCAGGACTGTCTTTGTAAAGTAGTGTTTAGTGAATACTTCTGTCTGGAGTCTGGATTAATACTGCACTACAGTTTTTGAGTGCAATATGTCACAGAAAAAAAAACATGAAAGATCATTTAGCAAAGCTGATGAGGCTCTGAAAACTGTATATAATCTTGCTGAGGAACTCTGAGGTATGCAAGACTGTGTAAAATGCATATGTACCATACACATGTACATGTGTAAAGTATGTAATATTTTTATGTAATCTATCACACTTTTAAAGCGGTCTACCTGTAGACTTGAAGAAGCTCCAAATTCAATATAAAAGACACAATACTCTGACTTAACCTTTTTAGACCCGTTTGACTACCTAGACTTGCTTGACATTTTGTGCAGTCTGTAAGTCATAAAACGGTATTAATATTAGCTTAATAGTTGTTATGTTATAGTTGTTACACTCACCGGGCCTTTCTGCAGTTTGTGATAGCTGGGATGAGTCTTCTGCATCCCTCCTCTGATGTGTTGTATTTCTTCAGGTCAAACACTTTCCTCACATTCTCTGACTGGAGATGCATGTAGGTTATGACTGAGCACTGTATAGGAGAAAGCTTCTTTTTTGAGGATTTATCTGGAATTAGAGAGAGACAATGGAAAGCTTTCAGAACCCATCATCATCCAGTGACAGGAACTGTTTCAATACATGACAGATAATTAAGTAAACAGTGGCAGAGTGATGAAATTTCATTTTGTAGGTGGCTTTCATGAATATTCATTAGCTATAAGCTTTTGATATTTTTGGTCCATTTTTTGTCACTACAATTAAATGATGAATCTATCTATTTTTAAGCCTCTCTAATTTCAGTGATGTTTCATGTATAACATTTCTACAGATGTAAAAATGACTGTGTGATTTTCCCTCATCTCTTTTGTCTGCATTTTTCGTTGCCCCACCCAGGGATCATTGTGTCCTCCTGTATCTTATGTCATTTAGATGTAATCTATTTTAAAGGTTGTGGCACTGTATTACTTGTATTCCCCTGTTGTTGTTTTTTTTTAACATGGCCAACCCCATCTTTGTCTTCTCATAAACTCCTGTGCGCTCAGTATCTGCTTGATCTTTAATTCCTGCCATGGACTTGGATATGCTCTGATTAACAAACTATGTTCATGCAATCTGTCTTCTCTGTTACAAAGAAGTGTTTTCAGAGCTCTGTCACACTCTCTAAAACTGAGTAATAATAAACAGGTAAAATTCATTGACAGTATAAAGGTGCAGTTATACCTCACTTCATTATAAAGCAGGTGTATCTGACAGGAATATCAAATGCAAAATTTGATCTTTATTGAATATTTAGACTGATCAGATCTCACTGACATGCTGTTGGCAGACACACTGGTTTAGCCAAGTGCTGATTAAAATTTTTTTGAATAATAAAATTTAAATAAATTAAATTCTGATGCATAAAATTGTTTAGATGATTAGATAAATAAACTCATTCTATATGTCAAAAATGTCAAAATGAAATTTCTAGGTTGTTCAACAAAACTGAATAAATGACACCACACACATTTTCTAAACTGCTTATCCTTCTAGGTCACGGGGGGGAGCGGGAGCTTATCCCAGCGCTCATTTGACGGAAGGGAGGGTACACCCTGGACAGGTTGCCAGTCCATCACAGGGCGAACAGACAGACATACACCGATCAGCCATAACATTCTGACCACCTCCTTGTTGTCCATTTTATCAGCTCCACTATATAGATGCACTTTGTAGTTCTACAATTACAGACTGTAGTCCATCTGTTTCTCTGCATACTTTGTTAGCCCCCTTTCACCCTGTTCTTCAGTGGTCAGGACCCCACAGGACCCTCAGAGAGCAGGTACTATTTGGGTGGTGGATCATTCTCAGCACTGCAGTAACACTGACATGGTGGTGAAGTGTTAGTGTGTGTTGTGCTGGTACGAGTGGATCAGACACAGCAGTGCTGCTGGAGTTTTTAAACACTGTGTCCACTTACTGTCCACTCTATTACCTTGTTGGTCCTCCTTGTAGATGTAAAGTCAGAGACAGCAGCTCATGTGTGTCAGCATAGTTTGTGTTGGTCATCCTCTAGTCCTTCATCAGTGGTCACAGGTCGCTGTGGGCTGGATATTTCTGGTTGGTGGACTATTCTCAGTCCAGCAGTGACACTGAGGTGTTTAAAAACTCCAGCAGCACTGCTGTGTCTGATCCACTCGTACCAGCACAACACACGCTAACACACCACCACCACATCAGTGTCACTGCAGTGCTGAGAATGATCCACTACCCAAATAGTACCTGCTCTGTGGGGGTCCATGGGGGTTCTGACCACTGAAGAACAGGGTGAAAGGGGGCTAACAAAGTATGCAGAGAAACAGATGGACTACAGTCTGTAACTGTAGAACTACAAAGTGCACCTATATAGTAAGTGGAGCTGATAAAATGTACAATGAGTGTAGAAACCAGGAGGTGGTCATAAAGTTATGCCTGACTGGTGTATACATCCACACGCACAATCACACACACACACACACACACACACACACACACACACACACACACACACCTAGGGGCAATTTAGCTTGTCCAACTGGCCTGACTGCATCTTTAGACTGTAGGAGGAAACCGAAGTACCCGGAGGAAACTCACATTGACACGGGGAGAACATGCAAATCTTGCCACCCGTGAGCACAAGCAGGGAGAAATTTCTAAAGATGGATTATTGATTCATTTCATGACATTTTATGGTCAAAAATGTTTTATTTGATCTTTTTTTCAAATTAAAACATTTTATATTCTCATGTAAACCTGTTTTATTTAACAACTGAGAGACAATATTCTAAACATGTTATTTTCCTTTATATGTTACCTTCTTATGGTCATAACCATCTTCATTGTAGAATTTCAGCAAACGGCCTTTTGTTGCAGAAAAGTGATAACTGTCATGCTGTCACCTTGTCCCCTCACTCCTTTGTATCTATTGAAATGACCCTCCGTCTCATGACCTTAAGATGATAACAGTCACCCCCCTTATCTCTACACCCTACATCTCCTTTTATATTCTCCTTCTACATTCCCCTTCTTACCCCTCCTCAAACTCCTTTTCTTTCTCCTTCCTTCCCCACAGTTTTCAATGTTAGATGTTATAATGTTTCTTGTTAGATTGGTGACAGACTGATTACCAAGCTATGCCTGTGCCTGACTCTCTGTGAGTAGAACTTGGAATCTGAAGAGCCAGTCCCCTGACTCTTCCCCAAAATATAGATAAACCCACCCTCATATCAAACCCTACATATGGGATACAGTAAATTCTCTTGGCCCAGCAAAACAGTGCTAATTGTCTTTATGTCTGAATTTCTCAAGTAATTTGTCTCCTGTCCATCCCACACAAACATGCTTATGCATGTCAGAGACATATTCCAAGTCATGTGTCAGTACCAGTGGCTTGCAAGGACCATGCCCAGAAATGTCATCTGAAGAAAGTGATGCGTTGTACCAGTACTTTGCCCATTATTGACTATCACACAGTTAAATCAGATATAATAATGTACAGTGTTACATTATTTAAATATATATTTAAATTATTTTGCAAATACTCTTATCTTGTGCACCCAAAATGGTAGGTGAATCCAGTGATGCTCCTGCCTAGATAAGAACCAAACCTACTGCCATGTGTAGGGTAATGTTATTCATTATGCTATTCATTTGTGTGAGTTGAAAAGAAAGGAAACACCACTAGTGACAACATACTGCTGCAATTTTGTTGTAATTATCAGCAGTATTTCCAATATCAGACTGATAATATTGAATTTCCTATTTATGAAAAGTTGCTCATAAATTGTGACATTAAAACCAGAACGTCAAACAAGCAAAAATGAGCAATGCTAAATGTTGCAGGGATCACTGATGTTTTCGAGGGCCCAAAGCATATCCTATTCGTGAAATATCTATATTGTCTATTGCACCCTCCAAATCAATCCACTGACTGTGTTGCTTTTCCTTTACATATTTTCACGTATTTTGATTGTGTATTAGTAATATTAAAATATTCTGTGTATGGAGCACTAAGTCTCCATATTTCACACAACATGTTGATCAAATATGAACAGCAGCTAATCTGGTCAGTTCTATGTAAAATGTTTCTTTTATAATAAATGAGGACTGACCATGAAATGTTGCTGTAACGATTGTAATCTCTCTTTACACACAATGTCTAAACATTGCCTAGTATAGTAACAGACGAGAATCAGGAGTGTGAAATAATTTCTGTTCCTAAAATTCATGGCATTGCGTTTATACAGAGGAAACACTGACTCTGTGTAAACTCTCATACACTGTTCTGTTTATCCTCTGTATAAATGCTTCTCACCACTACTGAGTTGTCAAGCAGTAAACTCCATGATTTCCTCTATCTTGAAGTAAGCAACACAGCAGAACCCGTGACTGCACTGTAGAAAACTACAACAGGTTGTGTATTTTCAGCTGTGCACATGCATCTCAAAACTTCTCTAAGTGTGCAGCATGCTGAAAAAAAATCTTCATAATTCAAATGTTTCAAGCGCTTGCACGTAATTAAAATGTACATCAACACAATTGTTTCTTTAAGTTCATCTGTTTTGGCAAAAATTGTGTTGATGTAACACATTTTGTTCATTTGCCACCACTTAGACATTTAAATGATATTTATAATAATAGGTGCAAGCAAAAAAACTTTGTCTGTCAACATTATGTGATTATCAGCTAACTACACTATTAGAGTGTATATATATATATATATATATATATATATATATATATATATATATAGAACATTGTCTTGTCAAAGTCTGATAAAATTAAAACCAAAATATAGAGCTTTTGGTTGGCTTATGATCAGCAGTGCCTGAGCAGTGGTTTATAAATCTCTTGCTCTGCGTTTCCTCTGTGATTTACGCGCACAGTTAGCTTGTAAAGGCGTGTGTTTTGTAGAGAATCTCAATTTCATTTTGTTTAAACATTGCATATTTACCTATTTGTCAATAAATAGCAATTTCTTAGCATACAGAAAATAATTTTTGATCAATGCATATGACTCAATATTCAATATTCCTCTTTTACAATTGATACAGGTGTGTTACATTATAAAAGATGCAAAAAAAAAAGAATAAATCATTGCACCACTCCTTCTGGTACTTTAAAACAAGAATTAAAATGTTGTTTTAGAATAGCAATAAGTAAAAGAAGGAAATGTGGTCCATTTGAGGACTTTTTAAAAAGGAAAAGAGGTGCAGAGAAATTAATTAAACATTTACTGATCATTTTATAACTAGAGAATCTGACAAAGGACTTTAGCTTTTTGAAAGAGTGATCATATTGAAGTATACAGTCTCCCATAAGATGACACTGCAAAACATTATCTTTACATTCACCCAATCTAAATATGGAAAACATTCTTTTAAGCAGTTCAAAGTTATTCCTGAAAGTGATGAATAAAAGTTACCTTTCATGATGTAAGCTGTAAAGGCAATTAAAATAACAGCAAACACTGAAATGCAGATGATGGCAATCTTCCAAGCATGAAAATGTTTTCCTGAAATACAAACCAGATAAAAATGTACAGCAGCCCAAACATCTAATAGAATAAATAAGTATAAAAAAATAATAAATTGTTTCTTAAATATAGTTATTAAATAAGGACACTAACTGTTAAGTGATGTGACCCTGTCCAGGGGTGAAGAATACCTAACCATTACTATATTTTTTTTCTTTCATTTTTCTTTTATTACAGTCATAACAGCACAAAGAGTTTGTTCAAAGGGGTTCAGACATGGTAGATTCACTTATCTGTGTTATACAGTGTGATCAGCTCCACACTTTCCTTTTTACATAAATGAGATTTACACACTGAACCCATACTTTTATTTAAACACAGCCTTTTCTGCACTTTTTACACTCCTCACACTGCCATACATACTGAATGTGTCCTGAAATAAATTCACATTTTAGATTTAAACGAATGCTTTGGCAAAAAATTTAATTTACACAGTAAACAAACCAGTGTTTGTTAGCCCCAGCACTGTAGCCCCTGCACTAAAAAGCAAAATCTGGACACGTCTTGGCTGTTTGGCTACATCTGGAGTAAGTGGGAAATGGTGAAAATTTCATTTTTTTCCAAAACCCTGCTTTGATTAATTGAAAGGCTGTCTGTGATAAATGGCTGGCTAAAAATTACTATGAAGCTGAATTAATGCTCTTGTTGCACATTAATAGTTGATAATTAATGATGCACTGAAATCATGATGGTTCTTACCTTTAACTTCAACATAAACAATTATATCATCATCCCAGGTTCGAGTTTCAATGAGACATTTATAAGCTCCATCATCAGAAAGTCGCAGTGCTGAGAGTTTCAGTGAGGCGTTTCCTTTCTTCAGTTCTTCTTTAAATAGAGTTGTTCTCCCTCTATAAGATTCCATCTGATCAAAACTTCTATCTTTATTATGTTCATACAGATGCACAATTCTGTCACCCAGATGCAGTCTGGACCACTCCACTGTCATGTCCACAGCACTGACGCTGGGTTGGAGAGAACAGGGCAGAACCAGATCTTCACCAGCTTCAACAACAAGAGGCTCAGCTGGACCAATTACTTTTAAGTGTACTAGAAAGACAAAAAACATAAGTCAAAGTAAAAGGGGAAGTCCATCAATATTTCAAAATTTCTACATAATTCAGTCACTGAAATGCAAAGCAAAGTCATATAAAAAGGTTTGATGTGAAAAGGTTCATTGTAGAGAGTTGTACTGACTCAGATTTCTTTACTGTGATGGTGATAGGAACCAGGGGTCGCAATGTCTACAATGCAAAAAATTACTTTCTATTCCAAACCTCCAATGAACGTACACGTGTCTGCTGAGTTCTTATATGCAGTGCTGATGATGGTAAAATAGTGTTTAATCTGAAAAAAAGGTTTTCTTTGGCTTTGGGGACAGCAAACCTGCATGTATCTCTCCACCATGAAATAAAATTATTTAAACATGTGTTAGGTCAAAACGTTTATAAAACAATGTCATTAGGTTGAGTATTCATAACCATTTCAATCACATAGTAACTTTCTGTGAGGGAGCTTTTAGAGCTGGTTCCTATCACCACCACTGTGAACAATTCTGAGTCTCTAGGTTTCTCTCGAACAAAGAATTTCACATCAAACCACTCTGTCTTACTTTGTTTACAGCTTAACCATGTAATATTGCAGAAATATTGAAAAATAGGTGGAAAACAGCAACATACACCTGGATTAATCTGGACCCTTTCCAGCATCCACCATAGATTGATCACACACAGCTTCACCATCACTGTGTGCCTGCACTTTAAATTCTTTATTTGAGTCTGCTTTGAGACCTCAATCATTCTGTACAGTTTACAGTGACAATGTTTGCATTAATTCCTTCATCACTCACATCCTGCTGGATCCTGCCAATCCATGTGTATATGTATGTGTGTACATACATTTGTATATACTGTTTTGCAGCCATGTCTAGTATTTATTTTCTTGTGTATTTATTGTTTTGTATATTTATTGTCTGGTGTATTTATTGTATATTCTGCACTTGATCCACACTGTTGTGTATCTGCACTCTGTGTACTCCTGTGTAATGTACTGCTGTTTAGTGTTGGACAGTAAGTGGCAGACTGATCACTTGGTGTCACTATAGCTATGTAGCTGGCTTTTGCCAGTTGTGTGCAAGATTTGGCACCCCTGGCCAAATGACATTTTAGCTGATTTTTGAAGCGGAAAAGAAGTAAATACAACCTGTGAAAAAATATTTTAAAGACCCCCTTCCATAAAAAAACTTTTTTATTTTGATATGTTTAACTCTTCTTGCATAGATTCTTCTTCTTCTTCTTCTTCTTCTTCTTCTTTGTATTATTATTACTTTTATAATTGTATATCTAAGTGCACAATTTCAATTTCTTTGCTGAGATTAACATACCGGAAAAAATTCATAAAAATAAAATGTACCTTAATTGAATGATAACTGATAACTGAGCATTACAACATAAACAAATTACATTTTGTGCAAATGTACAAAACATTCTCAACAAAACGTAATTTCACCAGGGGCACCCAAACTTTTGTATAAACTATAGACTGTTATTTGTGTCCAATGTGTTACCACAGTGTAGAGTTCACATTTTTCTATTGAAAACACATTCTTCCAAAAAAAGGACCAGTAGTTTCCACATCAGAACACTTGTTTAGAGCTACAGAACATGCCTGTGCTAATGTGGCTTGTTTCAGTAGTTTGAAGTGTGCAGTTAGCTGTTAACTAAAATAAATGAATGATGCTAGTACTTAAAATTAGAACAGTGTAAAATCTGGCAAGAAGGTTATAACATCACCAGCTCACTCAACCCCACTGTACGTTTATATAATAAAACACAAATCTAAATGTAAACCTTTATTTTTGTGTCGTCCTGTCACTTACACTACTTTTTCTCCTCTCTTTAGCACTAGAGACTAAAGTTAGTTCAGTAAAAAGGAAGATTTATAGGCCACAAGCAATTCCAGCTCACTGGTGCTGCACTGAGGCATGTTAAGGGGACAAAGACTCAAAACTGAAGTTGAAGTGAAGTTGAGTGACTGGTGTTGGAGTAACACAATGACAGAATCTGAATTGTTCTGCTGGAGCACCACCACAAAGTTATTATCCAGCTTTATTTTCTGATTACTAAAGTGGAAGCTTTGTTTCTGACCTGCTCTGCGCCTGTTTAAACATAGAGACAGTGTGCTGGATAGAGGGGGTAGGGGAAACACGAGGGGGCATATAAAATTTGCATCATCATGCAAATTCATAGATCTTGACAATCTTAATGAGTGTTAAGGTTTAAGGATGTTCCTCTGCACTTTTTAGAGGTTTCTTGGTCATAAATATAATATATTAAAAATATTAATAAAAAACAGCATGCTTAAGATCTACCCACAGATTTTCCAGGATATTGGTGGATATAGGATCATTATTATGGTCCTGTTGTAGAAGCCAGAATCTTTACAGCTTCCTGGGTCACATTTGCTTCCAGAATTTGCTCACGTTTAAACTTAAACTTCTACCTATGCAGTGTTTCCACTGACTTCCTCAAAACCCCAAAGCATAACAGATCCACTCCCATGTTTAATGGCTTACAAGGTGTTCTTTTTATCATATGCTGCTCCTTTTTGCTCCAAATGTACATTTAAGCTATATTATTAATTATTTGCATATCTTGAAGCTAAATGATAAATTATGGATGACTTAATTGTCTCTGCTTTATATCACAGTCAAAAAATCGGATGGACCACTTTTGAGAGCCTTCAAGATCAAGAATATTTATAAAAAGAAGCCCCTTTTCAACAATAATTAAAAATAGTGGCCGTTCTAAAACTCTGACTGGCCGTCATCAGTGTTCTCTCTGCTAAAGCCTGTGCTGCTTCATAAGACTTTACATTGGTGTGTCATACTTGGACTTTGATGATCACTGTTTGTGATTTTATGTAATTTGTTGACACTTCGTAGCTTTAAGCAGTTTCAGCAGTCCAGTAGGAGCTGAATGTTAGTTACAAACAATGATAATTTACACATATTAGCACTTTTGCCCCCGTTTGAAAACTACTTATTTTCTATGGATTGGCTGAATAAAAGACCATGAACTGCTGCTTGTGAGATTTTTCTTCCTAAAGTGAAAAACCCTTCAAATGTACATGGCTCCTTTGACACATTTAGCATTCAGAATGGCAAATTTTGACAAAAGGCAATGATTTTCCATGGATGAGGCCTGAATGTAGTCCTACTTGTAACTATCCTGTTTTATAATGTGCATGTAATCTGATGCATGTCTTTTTTCTGTAATGGAGCTTAAAGGCGCTTAAAAGATATTAATTTGAAACTTTAGATTATTATAGTACTGGTGTAACCTTGAAATTTTAAACAGGATGAAGTCAGGTAAAATGAGCCAGATAAGTCTGGGGCATAAAAATAGCTTTAAATTTTTACAGCCTATTGCTGCAAACAGTTGTACACTTGACATGTGGCAAGTGCTGTGATTGGTTAAAGACTGCCAAGGTGGGCGGGTTATTGTCCTGGTGGAGAGCAGTGAAGCAAACCGGATGGTCAAAGTCTCAACATGATAAATTTTACCTTTCAATAATAAGGTTGATATTTAAAAAAAACAAATGAACATTGAGAAGTGATGTTTCTTATTCAGTAATTTCATGGCCTCTACAATAAAATATGCAGAGATTTGCAAAAAAAAAAAGTAGAATGGGATATCTTTTCCCACTATTTATATAACTGAATATGGCCCTTAATGAATGTGGCCAAAGAGTTATGTTTTACGAAGCACCTTTGGCTTTTCAAGATGGTATTTTGCAGACTTCAGACATTCACTGTTGTGATCACAGGTTTGTATACAGGTTTCCTTCTGATGACTCTTATATACATATCATGTTTTTGCAAGCGACACTGCAGAGTGGAACGGTGCACCACCATTCCTGGGTCAGTTTAAAACCTCCTGCAGGTCCTTTGCTTTGCCTTTGGCCAGCATATGAGCTGCTCCATCTCAGAATTTTCTTGGTCTTCAAGATCCACCCTCATAGTTTTCCTTAACTGCCACTTCTTAATGGCATTAATAACAAGTGCTTTGGTATATTTTAATAGCCTTTACCAGCTTTTTAGGCATCAAATTAGCTTTCAGATTTTGTTTGTCTGTTTTTTTACACTAATCAAACATTAGTAACTGTGTGTTTTATTGCAATCTGCAACATTATGTTTGTTTGTTTTTTCACTTCAAAGATCAGCAAAATGTCTTTTTTTCCCCAGGGATGCCCAAAGTTTTGCATAGGACAGTATACTGCTGCTTTTATCTAGAAGACTTTAAGGACCAGAGAAATTTCACATTTTCCTTTTTACTTACATTTTTTACTCCTGTAACGCTTTTTTTAAACTATGACTTTCTAAAACTCAAGTATAGATCTGTCAAAATGAATCTTGGCTTCTCCTGTCTTCACTTTGTACACATGTACCTTTTAAACATTAAATATTAAAAGAATAATGGAGTCTCTGTCTCTGTTCTCTCTGTCATCACAGTATCTGCCAAATATCAGAACTACTGTTCACTCCCTCGATATATTACAAATAATGAAGCCCCTCCACTCTAAATGTTGATTTGTGTCTTAGTAATCAACAATGTTGTCTTGATGGTTTTCATTCCAAAATAAGCTCAGTATTTAAACTGTTATGTCTCTCACCATTGACTTCAACATGAACAGTAATGGCGTCGCTGTAGGATTTGTCCTGAACTGAACATTTATAAGCTCCATCATCAGAAGGCTGGACTGCTGAGAGTTTCAGTGAAGTGTTTCCTTTCTGCAGCTCCTCTTTAAACAGAGCTGTTCGTCCTCGATAGGAATCAATTTGATCATCATTTCTGTCTCCATGATCTTCATAGAGGTGTACTAGACTGTCAGTGTCAGGTCTGATCCACTCCACCATCATATTCTCAGCGCTGATGTTGGGTTGGAGAGAACAGGGCAGAACCAGATCTTCACCAGCTTCAACAACAAGAGGAGCAGCTGGACCAATTACTTTAAAGTTCTCTGCAACAAAAAACAAACATGATATATAATAAAACAACAAAAATTAGTTTGAAAAAAAATACAGTGTCCTCCACAAATATTGTCACCCCTGGTAACCATGAGCAAAACAGGCTATAAAAAACATTGTTCATTGCTCATCCTTTTGATCTTTCATTCAAAATATTAGCAAAAATCTAATCGTTATTTGAAGTACGATTGAAAAAAAAACTCAATTTCATCAGGAAATATATATTTTTCTCAAATACATGTGTGCCACAATTATTCCACCCCCCCCTTGACTTTATACATTGTGCAGCCTCCCTTTGCAAACAAAACAGCTCTAAGTCTTTTCCTATAACGCTTAATGAGACTGGAGAACATGTGGCAAAGGATCTAAGACCTTTCTTCCATACAGAATCTCTCCGGATCCTTCAGATTATGTGGTTAACACTTTGGACTCTCCTCTTCAGCTCATCCCACAGGTTTTTAAGGGGTATAGGTCAGGGGACTGGGGTGGCCATAGCAAAACTGTACTGCGGTCAGTGAACCATTTTTATGTTCATTTTGAGGCGTGCTTTGGATCATTGTCCTGCTGGAAGATCCAAACTATGGACAGCCAGGTTATGACTTTATTTCTGCTGGTACTTGATGGAGTCTGAGATACCATGTGTCCGAAAAAATTGTCCAGGGCCTTTGGAAAAAAACAGCCCCACAGTATCACAGATCCACCACCGTACTTCACAGTGGGGATGAAGTCCTTTCATAAATGGCTCTGTGTTCACGCCAAACTCCTCCATTTTGGTTTGACCATAGAATACGATCCCACCAAAGGTTCCAGTATTGTTTGGCAAGCTGTAGGAGTATCAATATGCTGGTTGTCGACAGGAGAGGCTTTCCTCTGATACCCACACAAACAACTTCTGGTTATATAGGTGGCGTTTGATTGTAGATTGCGAGACGTGATCCTTGAAGATTCTTTGTCCACTCAAACAATCCTCCTCACTGTAAGTGGGGTCAGTACAGACATACGTCTTCTTCCTTGCAGATTCTTACCATCTACAGTTGTTTTAAACTTCTTACTTATTGCCCTGATAGTGAAAATGGGAATTTTAAACCTGTTTATCTATTTTCTTGTAGCCGTTTCCTGATTTGTGCAGCCCAACAACCTTTTGTTGTCAACAACCATCACTGCTGTATTCTCTAGTCTTTCTCATAGCGATAGGTGACTGAGGGAATTTGGCCTGTGTTGGCCTGAGAAGTAATAGCTGACCATTGAAGTGTTGCTAATCTCTCAGGTGAACTTAAAAACATAAAATATCAATGAAAATATACTTCAGTTACATTTCACTCTTAATTCTAGGAGTGCCAACAATTGTGGCACACATACATTTAAGAAAAATGTTTACTTCATGACAAGATTTAGGTTTTTCTTTCAATCATTACACCTTAAATAAAGGTTAGATTGTTGCTTATATTTTAAACAAAAGATCAAAAGGACTGTAATTGTAAATATTTTTTACAGCTCATTTTGATCATGATTACCAGGAGTGCCTATATTTGTGGAGGGCACTGTATGTATGAAAATATTGCCTATATAAAACATTTACATTGCTTCATGTTTTATATATATATATATATATATATATATATATATATATTTTACTTTTTCTTTACTATTCCTACAGGATAGAGCACACATACCTGACATGGTCTCCATAAAGCCAGAGAAAGTCAGCAGCATCACACAAAGAAACATCATCCCTGAAAGACAGTTTACAGGAAGACAGGTAGCCATGAGGAGTGGAGTTAGCAAAGAGCACATTTGCAGCATCACAGACACTGGTGTGGGCACTCTGAATGGCTCATTTATTTACTACAGAGGTCAGGCCAGGTCCAAAGTTTCAGCATTTAGTCAGTCCACTCTTTGTCTTTATTACGGTTTCCATTCTTTTCAGGAGACTTGCTTTCATTTTTTTAAAGAAATTGAATTATTTTAAAGAAAACCTGTACAGTGATGCACACACACATAAGGATGTGAAGAATCTGCATATAACATGCCACTGAACTTGAAAGCCTTTTACCCAGTTCCAACAAGTTGTGACAGTAAGAAAAATGTCTTGCAAATCCATTTGACATGTATTCATTTGAAAACAGTACAAAATGACAAAATGTTTAATGCTTCAAGTAATTAACTTAATTGATTTGGTATATATATCTTTTATATTCTATATATATATATATATATATATATATCAATATTCTAAATTTGGGACAGTGGCATGTTTACCACTGTTACATCACAATTCAGTAATCATTTGGGAACTGAGGACACCAATTTGTTATAGTAGTAAAATTAATTTTTTTTTCCATTCTTGCTTTACATAACACTTTAGCTGCTCAACAGTCCGGCATCTACATTGTTGTATGTTTCACTTCATAATGTGTCCCACATTTTCATTGAGAGGCAGGTCTGGACTGCAGGCAGGCCAGTTTAGTACCTGCACTCTGTTACTATGAAGCCGCGCTGTTGTAACACGTGCAGAATCTGGCTTGGCATTGTGTTGCTGAAACAAGCTGGGACAAGCAGGGCCTAGAGAACAACATCCATTACTTCCAAACACAATTTGAAAGGCTAACTCTTCTGATCACAGCACACGTTTCCACTTTGCATCAGGTCTTTTCTGAATGCTCCTTTTATACCCAATCATGGTAGCATCACCTGTTAACTATTCACCTGTGAAAAAGTACCAAAACAGGTGCTTTAATTATTCCACAAACTTCACAGTTTTAAGGCCTTTACACACCAAACGTGATTTATTTGTATAATTTATAGCTCGTCATGCTATACTTTCTCTTTTCCCAAATGGAAAGTAGCCTAGTGTCACAGTTTGCCTGTTCAACATTATATGATTTCCACTTGAAGACATTCAGCCTGTTTGCTTTGTGTTTCGCCTCATATGGAGTTGTGTCTCCAAAATCAGCTCAGATCAGAGTTATGGAGATCTGAGCTGTGTGTGAAAAAGTTCATAAAATTTAAGCTAGAGACATTATGAAGGACTATGTTTAAGCTCCTGAATGAGGCAGACAAACTCTCCATTCTCCTTTTTCTTTTTCAAAGTGGATCCTTCACATTGTCACATCTGTTTCATGAGAAGCAAAAGACCTTTTTTAAACAATTTGGTGAAATTCCAAAAAATACTGCATTGCTGCAGGTGGGTCTAAATGCAATAAAATCACATCTGAATATTTCATGTTTTAGTGCTGTTTATTCACATTGTGTTCAGTTTGTAACAAACTTCACACATCTTTTGAATACCTGGAGTTCCATAGTCAAAGTACATTCTTAGGGACACTAACTCACTGCTGAACGCCTGAGTGAGATAATGAAGGATAGTGTAACTGATACTAAGCATTGAATGGAGGAGAAAAATACACTGACGTTAAGGAAAGACGTGGAGAGTGTCAGGATTATGATCAGCTCAAAATTACACCAAACTCAAAATTACACCATTTCCTAACAGAAAACTGGCATCCAAATGTTGTACCACATCGCAGTGGAAGGCCTGCAGGATCTACACTGGAGATGTCAAGTATGTGACAAGTAAAACATAAACAAACCACACATCTACCAAAAAATAGCTGCTTTGCTGACAGAGCTCTCCAGCTGTAATTTACAGCATGTATTTTATAGAGTTTTATACTGCCGTGGAGATGAGCAGCTTGGATATGCTAACTTGTATCTACTTACCTAGCTAACCTAGCTAACAAATGGTATTTACCTCAAATTTCCAGCAGTCTGGCTGTTTCTCTCCAAACTGTTTACTAGAAGATTAATAAAGACCCTTCACTTCTACACTTCATGGAGGACTTTCTTCTCATCTGCTTTAAGATGTCAAGTCAAAGTTCATTTATATAGCGCATTTTACAACAAGTGTTGTCGCAGAGCAGCTTTGTGAAAAAATCCAGGTCCAAGCCCCCATGAGGAAGCCATTGGTGCCAGTGGGAAGGAAAAACTCCCTAAGAGCAAAAGGAGGGAACCTTGAGAGGAACTGCAGAGCGACACAATGCACCAAAACAGAAACAGGGCGCCTGTCAAAAAAGTTGCAATGCACCACATCACACTCTGCTGCCCCAGCTGGTGTAGACATCCTCAGTGATTATAATGGAAGCATTTTGGTTTTGTTGTTCTCGCTCACATCGCTTGTTGTTAGGATACAGTGTTAGTTTATTTTTACTGCTCTGCCGCTGGTAAAGTTCCCACCGCGAGTAAAAACAATGTTTAGAGTTAGATAAAAATTCTGATAACCAATAATTGGTAGATGTTTTATATCTATATTTTAATTTTAAACTCCAATAGATTTTGGCAGCGTGGAATGTGAGAGCGCTGATAAATGTCACGCTCAAGTCATTTTAGTGACCGTATTGCTGTTATTTGAAAGTTTGCAGTCCAGTTTAATACTGAAAACCAGCCTAACTGATCTCTGAGAGGGGCTTTAGGGTGCTCAACAGTTTTCTGTTCACACTGAAGTGATAAATAAATGTCTGTTTTGATTCATCCCAGCACTGTGATTATACGAAGTGTAATTTTTAAACTATAAAATGTAGTCAGAGGGATTTTACAGGGTTAATAATCTACATCTAGTCACAAAACATCTTTTACTAACAGCTCACATGTGCAGTCTTCTTATTAGAGCTTACAGCCCCAGCACTGAACATACAGCAACCACATACAGCGCAAAACACAGTGTGAAACACTACATAACTAAAGAAAAACAACACAATAAAGCAACAATCAGACCTGTCAAACACAGAACCTGCTCATATTCCTATGAAGACATTCATCAACTGATCAATCGACTCACTGAAGTGAAAACTTTACCTTTCAGAACTCAGTTTCACTCAGAGTCAGATCCACTAACAGTAAAATCAGTAATAATATCCACTAAAAGCTGAGAGCAGAGTTACCTGATTCTGAGGTCAGAGTTCAGAGTCTTTAAAGCCGAGAGCGGAGTTACCTGATTCTGAGGTCAGAGTTCAGAGTCTTTAAAGCCGAGAGCGGAGTTACCTGATTCTGAGGTCAGAGTTCAGAGTCTTTAAAGCCGAGAGCGGAGTTACCTGATTCTGAGGTCAGAGTTCAGAGTCTTTAAAGCCGAGAGCAGAGTTACTGCATTTGTCATGCAAATGTCTACAATACAGAATATTTTTGTTTTACATTTAAAACTTTACATACTGGGCAGTACAATTATGTATCATGCTACTACTAACAACAACAGCAACAACAACAACAACAATAATAATAATAATGATAATAATAATAATAATAATAATAATAATAATAATGGTAGAATTATTTCAGTAAATGTTCAAGTAAGTCAAGTTCCATTATTTAAACAGTACAATTATCCATGAAGACAGATGCAACTTTCCAGCTGCTCTTCCGGACTGAATTACAACAACAGACTGTTACTAACATAGTAATATAGTAACATATCGGTCAGACTCCACACAGAATCATGTATAGAGTCAAGTGAAATCTACATTTCTCCTAAGAGTATAAAAATAGTAACAAAACAGCTTGTTTTCTAGCCGCTAGCATACATGCTAATAGTGCAAGCTTTAAACTTCCAAACTAACATTTTATTGGCAAATACAACTTTACAAAGTGATCATTTTAAAAACAGCAATCAGCTCTAAAAATAGTATTCCAGTTCATATTCTGGTGCAGGTATTGATAATAAGATTACATTAAA